ATTTTGATTTATTATTCTGATATATTGTTTAAATGTCCAAAATCTACAGTGCATTTCAATAAAACCAATATTTTCAACCTTCAATATGCCACCAGAAAAGTTTACTAACAAAATTAACAAAATTAAAGTTGTCAATGTTGCAAATAATCAAACTTTAATGTATTATCTCTACCTTTTATTAACACTAACTCATAAGTATTCCAAAAGCTTACCATGATAATTGAATATTGAGCAAATCTTATTATTTTTTTAATTAATAAGTAATTTCTTATTAAAGTACAATTAAAATTAATTTTAAATTTGATTGATTATCATAAAATATAAAATGAAATTCATCAAAATTCTAACATTTTTTATTCAAGAATATTTTATTATTTTTCTCGTGAATTCTCTATCACCTGCCTATTAAGATAATGTATGTGTGTACATATATTCAAAAAGAGTACAATTTAATACGAGAATTTATTAACATTATTTATGTATAATGAAGCAATAACTTGAATATCATTATATCAACAAAACATTAAATTAAAATATATAAATTCATTTTAAAAATATTAATCGGAAATTCAATGAGATGCAAAAAAGAAAATAACGTATGAAATCATTTAAAAATTTATTAACTAAAAATTAGTGATCGTACAACCGCACGATCGATCAATCAAATTTCAATTCTCGAATAATTTACTTTGCAAAAAAAAAAAAAAGCAAAAATGGCAAAAATATTTATTATTTTCATGTTGAAAATTCGATCCGATTTTTAAGGCAACAATGACCTTGAATGACGGAATTTTATTTTTTGTTTTTCTCTAATTTTTTTTGCTTTTATGAATATTTAATAAATATTGTTGAAAATTTATAGTCAAATATGTTAATAAAGTTATCGTATTTGTAATAGTGATTCATTTAATCAAAATCATTTGCTATCGTCATTATTATGTTTTGGTTTTTTATTTATTTTGTTATTTTGCACATTATCTCATACATGAACGTTTTTAAAGGCGAGTACATATGTATGTATATACATTGGACTTACATATATCTTTCTAATACGATTAACTTCGATTTTAACGCGTTATTAATAATATTGATTATGTAATATTATGTAGTTTTATTTGTCCATTCATCTGTTCATGAAATTCATACACGCTTTTAGATAGAAAACCGAAATTTTGCATATAAATGTATTCATTGGAAAGCCTCCTAATCTAGAGGAGAATTTTCTCCTACCTCTTTTTTTTTCTAAAATTGAAGGCAACTCAAAGTTTCAGAATACATTGTTTTTGACAATTTATTCCAATCTTTGTAATTCGAAACTATATGCAAAGATTTTTTTATATTCGGCTACTAACAAAAAAATGGTCATTTGTTTATTCCGCTAGCAAATATCGACATTGAGAATGACAAAATTGTCATTAAAAGTAATCGTTATATCTATCATTCGTATTTAGTCGTATTTCAGCTGTTAAAATGACCAAAACTTGCATATTCGACTCCTTATTTTTTAAAAATTGTAAACTTTTCTAAATTTATACAAAAACTATTAGTTTATTTAAAGTAAATAACTTGTTATAAAAAAAAAAAAATTATCATAACTCACCTAATTAGTCATCAAATTCGAGAAATATGCCTAATCTTACTTTAATTTTTATTGCCACCGTAAAGTATGCAATATATATTCATTGCAAATATTAAGAGAATTGAGAAAGATATTTTCATTTGTTTAAGGAAAGTGAAAACTTTGCTCACGCACTTTAATTCTCATATATAAAATATTTTACGTTTGTTGGTATAATATAAGATTAAAAGTTTGCTCGTAAGAAAATATTAATAAAATTAATTATTTGTCTTCCATATGTAATGTTTAATAAATTGTTAATTGTTAATTTAATAATTTGTAATTTAAGGCTTAAGCTACTTGTGTTAGTTCGAAAAAGTAAACAAATATTCAATTTAATATTAAAATTGATTTTAAATACAGATATAAGGGTAAGTAACGCAGTTGTTTAAATTCTTAAGACGTTTAATCAGTATTTGCATTTTTCTTACCAGATCGACTTACTATTTTAAAATAAAAAAAATAGTGATAAATATGCAAATAAAATTTTGTTATTAGTCAATGTTCAATGCAACATTCACCAGAATCCTTGCTATAGCACTTAAAACTAGTAGAGAATGCCGCATGCAACTTCAAGAAATCAAATTAAATATAAAACAAATTTAAGAAATTTTATCAAATTTGTAAATTTGTTTCAGTAGAATGCATATGTTTAATGGTTTTGTTTTCTAATTGTTTAGTCTCGAATAATCTAAATTCAACTTAAACATTAATATTTTTGCTCTCTTCCATTTGTTATATCAAAAACTTTATAAATTAGTTCAAATTTTGTCTCTAAACTTTTTCCGCCTTTAGTTATAAAGAGAAAATTGACACACATTTTAAAATGACTAATGTAAATTAGTGAAGAAAATTCAATGCTATTTTGTGCTATGACATTTTTATACAAATTTAATGCTCATCTTCATTAGAACATAAAAACAATTATGTGAAAAATAAATTTAAAAGAAAATAATTTGAAAAAAAATTGTAACATAACACTGAACTGAAAACTGACATTAATAGTATAACATAAAAGCTTGGTTATGTAGTTTATGTGAAACTTTTGTCAACATTATTTTTCTTTCTTTTTTTTTCTTGTTTTTTCGTTTTATTGGTTATTATTAAGATATTCAAACGTTGATTAAATACACAACAGTATTGCGTACGGATTGGAATATATAGTGCCGCACACAGATCAAATACGACACTGAATTTAGATTTTCGAATTTATTAATTTTTATTTTGATTTTTCAAGGTCATTTTAAAATAAATTTCGAATTTTTAATTTATTTTTGTATATATAAAAATATTTTGAATAAATTTTTGTAAGAAAAATTACAAAAAAAAATTATATTTTTTTGCTATATTATGTATATAATGTATTTAGGTATGTGTATGTACTTGTATATGCATGTTATTTCATATACAGTGAAATGAAAGTGATGAAATGGACCGTAAAGCGTAGCAACATAGAAAATTTGGAATGAGTTCATGTAATTGGTAAACACACTTTTTTGATCAGTCTATTGACGCTTTTAAGTTCTATTATAATTTTTTTATCTTCTTGGCCCGGAACCCTTCTGCGGAACCGAATCACGTACAGTTCGTTGGGAACTAAGGAAGAAATAAGAGAGGAGGCGATCAGAGCGCTGTAGTAGTCTTCCGAGAGTGCTGGGATATTCTGACCACACCCGCTTTAAGAATTGAGCAAGATTCAGCTGAGAATTCTCACCAGGGTCTTTTCGGGGAATTGCCAACTTAGGAGGACGTTTCTTAGTAGATCGGGCTGGAAAATTGAAGACACTTGCAGATTAAGTGGAGAGGATAAGGAGACCTCAGCACATCTTCTAGAAAAATGTAATGCTCTCGCTCATATGAGAGAAAAATACTGGGAAGAAAATCAGCTTTGATAAAGTGCGTATGTAGCGCACGAAATATATTAGCGAAAAATAAAAGTATTTTATTCCGAATAAAAGGAAGTTTTCTTTTCACACCAAAAAAAAAAAAAAAAAAAAAAATACTGGGAAGCTTTTCTGTCAAGGTCTTCCGGGCTTTCAGAGATTCTCATACGAGGACACGGTGCACTGTTACCCCTGTTCAACAAATCTGTAATTTATAATATTGTAGGTTGGTTTTTCTAACTGTAGGGCCGAATATTATATTTTTTACAAAGTGTTTTACTGTATGTAATTCCAAATGTATCATTATATATTAATGGTATATATACATATGTAAATATATATTTACATATAAATCGACATACGTTATTTATTTCTTACGTTCCTGTATTAATAAAATTTTATTTGTATTATTTGCGGAAGAACTATTTAGATTACAAAAATCACTATTAAAATATTATATAGGGATAGAAGTTCAGGTTATCCAATTTTATAGACAAGCATAATAGCCAAAAAAAACCAAAAAAAAAAAAAATAAATATTTCTTGAATACAAGAAATTTTTATGGCTTTTAAAATATACTAAAGTATAAATGTCATTTCCTATAAATTATTATACTTATTGATTTTTAAATCTGGTTATTATTTTCATATACTCGTATAACTACAATATAATTATAATAAAGCAAAAATATTTTTTAAAAAATTTATGCAAATTAATTTTGCTTCTAAAATTTTTTCTTTAATTTATTGAACATTTTATGAATGAACGTGAATGGGTAGTATAAATTTTTCTTCTACTTTTTTTTTATAGTAAAATAGTAAAATATTAATAGTAAAATAAAGTTCATTCATAAAAAAAAAAAACAAAAATAGATTTTTATATAAAATTCAAGTTCATATTTTATGTGTTTATGGGTTATACTTTGAGGTGGATAAAATTCTATAAAAAAATATAGGTTTATATTTCAATTTTTCAGGTCATTTTTAAATACACGCATTAATTTTCTTCAATTTAATTCAAATTCATTAGAAATTTTATACAAAAATTAAATTAAATGAGAACAAAAAATTTAATCAAAAATTATTCTCCATATCATTGTAGAAATTAATAAAAAAAAATATTGCATATATTTAGGCGAAGCAATTATTATACATTAATAGATGATGTTGTACAAGCAGTAGACTAAAAATTAAAAATGAAATTCTGCTATTATTTACAAACGAAAAAAAAAATTGTTAGAGATATTTGTTGATTTCATTATAAAATCCAAAATACTATAGCAATATTTATTGGTGGAAATACAATTCCTAAATTTTAGAACTTTCTTATTATCAGAATTTTATTCTGAATACAAAATAAATTGAAAAAAATCAATATTCATGTTCTATTATTAAAAATTAAATAAAATCAACTGAAGAAAAAAATAAAAAAAAAAAAAATAATTAAAATTTATTTTTATAAAAAATAAAATTTTATCTTAAACACCATTTATTGTTTTCTGTTCTCTTAATTTCATATAAGTAATTAGTAAAGTTATTGCCAATAAACTTATAAATATTAAAAATAATGTACATAAAGCTGAAAATACTGATAATTCTAAACAAGTTTCTGAATGATGTAAATCTGATCCATGATATCTTGGTAATTTACTTATTGATGATGAATCATCTTCCTCTAAAACTCTTAATGATTGAAATAAATTAACACCTTCCAGCTGTGGTTTTTCATTTGAAAGTAATTTATTATCATCAGTCATATATTGATTTTCAAGATCTCTTTTTGATAATTGTTTTAAATTTCTCCAATGGCATGTTTGACCCTTAAAAATTTCAAATTCAATTTTATATATATATATTCAAATTTAGTGAGTATAATCTCTCAATGTAAAAATTTAATTTGAAAACTTACAGGACATCTGCCATGACACATTCTCACATCACATTCAATATATAAAGCTGGTGATCCAGTAAAACGGAATGTTTTCATATATGCATATATTTGTGTCTCATAAAAACCAGAATCAGTCCATGTACCGCGAAATCTTGATATTAATTTATCATCAACTGGACAACCATCTTCACTTATTAATTGTATTCGTTTTTGTGCACCATTATGAGCATAACAATCACTTACAATCATATCAAAACCATCTTTATTTGAATAAATAAATTTTAATTACAATTTAATATATTTATTGTTATATATTTAATTCTTTTATAGATATACCATATTTGCTTCTCATATAGATAACTAAAGTTAATGGATCACCGACACGAACTGGTCCAATAACTCTTGGTCCATTTACATCATAACCATTTTTAACTTCCATATAACATTCTGGTGGACTTAATGTAAAAACGACTGGATTTCCAGTTGCAACTCTTTAAAAATGATATTTTTAGAATTTATACATAGATACACGTTATAACTTCAATTTATTTCGAAAAAATTTAAGCTTACTCAACATCAATAAATGGAAATGTAACAGTTTTCCAAAAATCATATCCATATTCGCATGTTACTTTAAAATGTTCATCATAATCTTCTTCAATTAAAGGATTATATTGTACTGTAATTGTATTCCACATGAAATTCTAAATTATAAAAATTAAAAATTAATTAATCTTAAAAATTATTGTAAAATAAAAATTAATTACTGTTGGATTTTTAATATTATTCTGATTTAAAGCATTTTGACCCAAAGTTCCACAACGATTCAATTGTATATAAAATTCATAATATTCTTTACCAGATCCATTAACATAAACACAATCAGGATCATATGCATATCCTATTTAAGCAAAAAAAAATTGAAAAAATCAAATTAATATCTTTAATTTTAAATAAAATTTTTTTAATATTTTTAACCGGTAGAATATAAGAGCCCAGTAAATGAACCATTAAAGTTTACACGAATTTTCATATAATCATCCTGGCATTCTGCTTCAATATCTAAAAAACAAAAAAATATTAAAATAAAATTTTATTAAATAATTTCAAATCAAATATGCGAGTTAATAGAAAATATTATTTTTTTTTTTTGTTTAAATTAACATTACGTTGAACTCTTGTAAAATTAAATATAAAACTGCTTTCATATTTTAACCATTCATCAGAATGCCATTTACCAAGTAAATGACTTTGTGGTTGAATTGAATATCGATTAACATCATTTATTTGAACTAAACGTGCTTCAGATTCAGCTCGATCAGGTTCTTTTGCTGAAGAAGAAGATGATGACGATGATGATGATGACGATGATGATGTCGATGATGATGTACTTGATGATGATGCTGTAGTTTTCTTTGAACTTTGTGGTAAATTTGTTGAAACGCATAAAGAATTCTATTCATGAAATTTAAAAAAAAAAAAAAACTTTCGGAAACTTTTTAATTAATAACAATTTTCTTATTCTAAGACCTGGAATTTTGAAAGCAGGCATGCTAAAAATATTATCACGATTGGATGTTTAAATTTTTTAAATAGCACAGACATTCTTTAGATAGCACAGAGAAAAATTTTTTCCTATTTAAATGTTTTCATGGAATCTGTAATAGAAAAAAAAATTTAATGTTAAAATTTTATAAAATATTAAAAAAATTATTTTTTTACAGACTATTCTCGAACAAAGATACAACAAATATAAAAGTTCAACTGGTATTTTGATTAAATTAAAGTTTGGTTCCAATTTTTGCGTTATTTGATTTGCGATCCCAACTCGGAGTTCAGTACGAAATTTTGCAAGAGATTTCATTATATAGTAGATCAATTATGATGTAGATCAGTTATATAGTTTTTATTGCAGAATTTAACCATAAAAAAATCGCCAAAACATCTAATCTTCCGCTAACTCTACAAAAATTAAGTACAGTTTTCGAAATTATATTTTAATATTTTTTTTTAGACCCTTAAACTACAATAAGTCGCGAATGGCTGCAGTGGTCCAGGGGATACTGTTACAAATTCAAGAACTATAATTTTAAAATCACACTCAATTTTAATTGTTTGTAGTTCGAATTCAAATTCTTATAGAGCTTTTTCTTTTGGAGATTCTTTTAGAAGATATTGGATCAGATTCAAAAGTAACTTTCAATTGTATTCATTCTGAATGTAATCATATTCTTAATTTAGCTGAAATCATTTTATAGCCATGAAAATAAATTTTCAATAATACACGCTTATACGAGTATAAAATAAATTATTTTAAATAATTTAAATTTAAGTGATAAAATCCTAAATTAATAAATTTTTACAATCTCTTTATACCAATGTATAATTATAGCCGTATAACAATTAAAGAAACAATAATTGTTTTTTTTAAGAAAATAATTATATAGGTAAAATATTTGTTTTTTTTTTCTACAAACTGTAAATTTTACCTTGATATTAAAAAAAATTTTCTTTATTGTTACAATTATTATAGTTTTTTATTAACAATTTTAATCAAATGTACTTGGAATTAACTGTTAAAATCTACATAACTATATAGATGCACACATAATAAGTGAACTTGATACTTTTTTATATGTACATATATATAGGTTATTTGTATGTATGTATGTAATTATATAATACAGATTAATCACATTAGTTGTGATTAACGTTGTATTTAACATTTATATAAGTTTTCGACATAATAATTTTAAATTCTAATAATTTGTACTAATGAATGACTTAGAAAATAATTTATTTTATCAACATGCCGTAAAATTTTCATATTATAAATATTTAGACACATATATTCATTTAAATACATACCGACAACCTAGTATTATTTAATAAAGAATCACAAGGAATACGAAAATACCTAATATAAAATAAAGGTGAGTGCCTTATTATGACAGAGTGAGCATGAATGAATGAAATTATGAGTTCAACTTCTTCAGTTGGAAAATACAAAAACAAAGATTAGAAAAAAAGATATTTATTATTTTATATTATATATAATGTTATACGTAAGTGTGTTCACAAAAGTTTATATTGTATGACAAAATTTTGTACATAAGTACATACTTTTATTTTATACGCGATACAATTAGCGACAGCTCAAAATTAGATTAAGTCTGAATTTTTACTTTGCTTTTAACCCTTTGCAGACTAACTCACGAAAATGCTAATAATTCATCAGGTTACAGAAGAACTCGAAAAGGCGTAATCGCAATTAGTGAGAAACATATTGCTAGCTTAACGCCAATCCTCTATCCTATTGAGAATATATCACCATATTAAATTTCGGACATTACTTTCCTTTTGCAGAAGAGTCTTGAATTGTAAATCATCTCTTAATGAAATGGATGAGCATATGGAAAAAAAATTGATTTTAGTCCTAATTATTCTCTCCGAAAACAAAGGTTCAGGTTTATGAGTTTTTATAAGCTGTTGTTACGTAACAAGGCAGTAGAGTAAATCCTGTTTTATTGTAGCCAAAATTGAAAATTAATTAATGAATTAAATTTTCTTAATATTTTTAATATATATTCGGTCAAATATTTAATTATAATGGTCAAATATGCAATTACAAAAAAAAAATAGATATGTTATTCTAGTACTTTTTGTAAACGCCGTAATTTAAGGGTTAATTGAGTAAAAATTCACGTTGCAATATGAATGTACTTTATGTCGCCGGCATTTAGAGAATAAGATTAAAAGTGGATTAAATTTTTATTGAATTAATAAATTGGATTGGAATTTAATCAGTGCAACATTGGTGAAATGTTGATAAAATGTTGGTAAAATATTTTCTTAAGAATTTAAAAGCAAATTGAAAATTTTTGAAAATTATGCTTATAACTACAAATATACATGGCCAAGCTCAAATTATAGAAATTTATTAGCTGCAAGGATAAAAATTTATTGTACTAATGTCGGCCGCTGCTTCATTGAAATTTTAATCTATACACGACTTGCTTTGAATGATGTAAATTAGATGTGAAAGTTAAAAGTGCGTGTAATCGTACCATTATCTATACATAGATAGTTTGAAATTTTCATATTATGCCATAAAACTTAATTTGAACAGATTGCCAGTAATTTGCTTCAGTTTTATGTATGTAGAACTAAGTACTTTTATACTGTTTAACAAAAACTGAATTCATGTATAATATTGTTGCAAATTTGTGTGTTATACTAAGCGTACATATAATATTATTGTATATATAGTTCAAAAATAATTATGACTTTTTGATGAAAGAAAATAAGTAATTTTTTTCTTTTATTTTATGAAAATTTAAAGTTCTTTTTGTATAACATATAGATTAAATCGCAAGTAAACTTCACCTTGATTGATTAAATCTTGAATTTTTTCGTATAATTTTGAAGTAGATATACAATTAAACGGTACATTATTAAAATAGCAAAAAATTACAATAAAAAATAGCGTTATTTTGAAATAGCAAAATAATATATTGTGCAATTATAAAAGGAATTGATTTGCTAAAATGATAACACGTTAAAGCTATTCTTCACCTCTTATTGTAATCAAATATTTAATCGTCATATGACAATTTTCAAGTTTTAGAATTAGGTCACAACAGTATCTATTAAGCTCACTACACCTTCACATAATACATTTATAGTAATTTAAATATGTAATTATTAAAATACTAACTCAAAAATTTACGGTATGATTACATAGCAAAAAAAAAAATTATGTTAATTGAATGAATTATATAATGTAATAATTAATGTAATAATTTGCAATAATTTATTAAAACAAAGTAATTTATTTTGAAGTCATGGACATTTTTAAAATAATAATAATATTAAAATTTTCAATTATGAAATCAAAAACAAATTTGATTTGTATAGATATAAGATATTAAGATTAACACAAGTGTAATAAATTGAGTTATACTATTATCTACTCAGAAATGTTGAGTGAACAAGATTATTGATTCAGAATGATCGACTGAGAGTAATTTGAGCTTTTAAATTTGGTAATCCAGGATTGTTTTTACAACAAATTTATCTTTAACAAGAAATTATAGTATTATTAATTAATGTGTTTTATACTAAGATGAGCTTGAACAGCTGTATTATAATCACCTTACGTTATATGTATGTATGCTGATTCTGAAAGATATACAACAACATAGACTGGTTAGAACATCCAAAATTCCTGGAACTCAGAAGATCTTGAGGTTTGGCACCCAATCTGGAGCAAAAGTTTTACCCATTTCCGATCTTCTAACCAATAGTATATGTTGTTGTACAGCTTTCTGAATCACCCTGTATATACAGTCGAGCTGGCTTATATTTGATTAGAAAAATTACATGTGTGCAAACATTACCGTTTGGTATTAAAAATTTTTGCTTATATGGTGCAAATAAGCATGTTCAACCGTATATATACATAATTGCCCTTTATTTTTTTATTGCTGGCCGATGGGAGGAATGTGAGCGAACAAATATATGTATGTAAAGACAAAATACTGTTTTAAATCTTCTTAGAAGACATTTCTTCTCTTTTCTGCATATATATAAATTTTAATTATACGGGGGCACGGTAATTCTCTCGTCAAAATAAGGCAAACGAAAGGCATCCTACCTACCTATTGTCTAAGCGCGGCATTGTTTTTTTTTTTTTGCTTTCTGATAGTTTGATTTTGAATTATCGCACGCAAACAAAATATCTGGGTATGGTGCCAATAGTAGACTTTTAAGATTTGAAGTTTTAATAGCTTTTGTACTTTAGATTTTGTTGATATATAAAAAAAAAGACGATTTTGTCATCAACCCATTGATGATCATCAAAATTTATAATCGTAGTCAAAATCATAAATTCATAATCATAAATTATGACCAAGATGTAGAATTTGTGTAGCAAAGGCTTGTAAAGTAGGACCTGTGAAGCTTGGCCCTATATGAAATTTATTTAATTTAACAACTCTCTAAACAAACAACAATTTTATTCGAGTATAATTTCATTCACAACAAAAATCAACTTAATATTTTATTTTTAAGGATTTGAGTACATTATTTTCGTACCTTCCTAGTAACCTTCCGATCTGGCAAACAAGCTAGTTCCGATCTGGCAAAATTTTGGTTAGTTACATTTACCTGCCATTTATATTAAATTTGCCTGTTACATTTGTCTTTATGTTTACTTTGAAAACTTCTAAGATAAAGAAATTATATTTGAAAATTTTATTACACCGGAACATCTTGTAAAGTACAGTATATCGTATTTGAATATCTAATAACGAAATTCCACATGATTCTATAACTGTTTTCATTCAATTTACTTAAATTTATTAATATCATCGGAAGTAATTAATTTTACACTACCTTTGTATTGTTAAAGAATTATTCTTATTTTATTCCTATGAAGTCAAATATTTTTTCATTAATCTTTTAATTTTATAGAAGGGAATATCATATAGAATTAAAGAAAAAAAAATAATCTGTAATATTATTGAGAAAGGAAATTGTCATAACTCATCAAATAACTGTCATTTCTATACTTACAATATAACATATATTACAGTTACTTTTCA